TGATGGCCTTAGACACGAAACGAGCGGTTTGTGGGAGAAAATGAACAGAATTTATATCGTATTTACCTCTTGTAGCCACAGCCACGTCCAAGTGATCTGAGGCCACGAGCTCTTCGTTCTGCGCAAGTGCTGGAAAGCATCGGAATTGATCTCTCGCGCGGTTGTGAAAATAATTCAACGTTGTCTGTTAATATATTGAACTCATCTTCCATTGCGATTTCCTGTATATCTAAATATGTTTAGATCTTCACAGTGAATGGTAACGCTTCCGAAATCTCTGTAAATAATGAGTGACGTACACGCGTGAGAGATCACTTCCGGCGCTTTCACTAAGCGTCCACGCACTCAGATCACTTTGATGTGGCTGTGGTTACAAGAGGTAAAAACAATATAAATACTGTTCATTTTCTCACACAAACCACTCGTTTCGAGTCTTAGGCCATCAATGTGTACTTGCATTTACGAGTCATTAAATCATGTTTAATTTTGACTTCTCTGTGCATGCTCTTTGAGGTGGACCCCATATACCTCCATTATATGACTGACAGACAAGAACGGTTTGACTATCAAAATTGAAAATACTGTGGAAACAAGTGCCCTTGGATGCCCTTGAGGTAAGCTAAAACACATCAAAAATTAATTTCAAAGTGAACTATCCCTTTAATTAATCATTGACAGTGAATGTCATTGATGGTCTTTTTTTTTTTTTTTGCTTAGACCTATTAATTTGCCAATATTTGGTGATTTTGAGATGTTCAGTGTTATGTACCAATATCTATGACATCTAAGAGTATGATTTTCCAAACACTTTGTTTGTCTTCTGTATTTAGAATGGATGTGGACAAAGGAAAGATTGAGGACACAGGTGGCAGTGGAGGTTCTTACTCTATTAAGACTCAGTTTAACTCAGAGGAACAGTGGACCAAAGCCCTCAAGTTCATGCTCACCAACCTGAAGTGGGGTCTGGCCTGGGTCTCCTCGCAGTTTTACAACCGCTAGATTTGATCTCGACCCTTACCTGATCCATGACAAGAGGAAACCACATGAAATCTACACAGTGCTAGGATGGGAATTTACATTTTTGAGTGAACTGAACTTCAATTCACAATAATTTTGTTAGAAAAAAGAACATGGAATATAATTAACTATTAAAATACCAGTAATTTGAATTTGTGTTACTGGTGTTGTATTTCATGAGCGTCATTATGAGTATTCGGGGTGAGCAGGGGTTGGAGGGATGGTTTTTAGCCTATACCTGAATGTTTTCTTGTCTGAAACTCCCCAGGAGTCAAGTGTGGAACGTTTAGTTAGTGGTAAAGCCATGCAAGTAGATATGTTCATTAATATCTTGTTTATACAGGGCTAAGTTCAAAAACAGAAACAGGTCCTGTCAAAGCCACTTACATTTGAGAAACATGACAAGCTAATAAGTATTTGTAAAAAAAAAATAATAATAAAAAAAAAAAAAAGAAGAAAATATACAAATACTGTATATATTTATAAGTACTCATGGTATTAATGTGTATATCCATTGTAACTAAAGAAAAACAATAAACATTTGTAAACCTTAAGTAATTTAATTCATTGTAGGCATCTGTTAATGGCTGTTGAAGCTATGATAATTGACCGTTCGCAAAAGCCACGTCCCCTAGTCAGTGTTGCCAACTTGGCGCCTTTGTCGTTATTTTTAGCGACTTTTCAGACCCCTTTAGCGGCATTTTTTCAAAAAAGCGACTAGCTACAATTTTAGGGACTTTTTGGACAAACCTCAGTAACCTCCAAATATTGCCAGTACTGTCCTATGAGCGCGAGGTCTTGCTTTCTCCCTGTCGTCACTCTCTAGTTGCGTCTACCCTGTTCACTGAATGGCTGACAGGAGTGCACGGCTGCTGACAGACACGAATGAGCAATGTTTTTCCACGGACTTATCACTTATCTGCTTTTCTTTTGTTTTATATTTAAATAATTATTTTGACCATTTTCATTTTATTTATTTTGCTTATTGTAACACTCACTATCACAGAGCTTAGTCCATCCAGTTCCCTAACGCTCAATTCAGATAATGTTCCATATAGGCCTATAAAAAAAAATTAATCTTTCACTATATTATAGCTACTCGTTCTATTGTCTAAAAAAAAAAAAATAAATAAATAAGAAATGAAAACAGCTTTCTTTGACATTCGGCTATATTATATTAAATAGAGCATTAATTTAGAGAGAAAACGCACTAGGCTGACAGAATGCAAGGATGACGTCATTAATTATGCTAATTGTCATATGATGTCATCTAGACATTTAGCAATTTTTAGGGAAGGCCTTAGATACTTTCCTTTGAAAATAGTTGCCAACACTGCCCCTAGTTATTGTTACTGCCATGACAGGAAGAGGTACTGTATACCAGTGTGTGTCAGTGACTTTTTTTTTGGAGCAATAGAGAGCCTAAGTCCCGCCCCTTCCGGTCGACCACCATGGGACCTTATTTCGGAAAAATATGTCAATGGCGAGAGACAACAAATATTTTGATCTCGTTTGAATTGTGCCCTGAATTACACACATGATGTTTGTCAATTTAAAAGATCCATTTTAAAGTAAAGAAAGTCACAGTTTGATGTAAAACTGTTGAGGTATAAGACTGTGAAAATACGGAATTACAAAGACTACAAACCCCAAAGGCGCACATTTTCTCCCAATGAATGAAGCTAACTTTACTAAGGCTGTCTGTCATTGTTTCTACAGTCTTACGTTATAATCGTAACGTTACGCCGTCCTGCCTGAGTGTTTTGTACCAGACTGCACACACACGAGCAGCGGATCTCGTTTCTCTTCCCGGGAGATGTAGTTCACAGCGATTTTCACATAAAACTAAATGTTACTCTTCTGTTGTATGACAAACTGCGACGTTTTTGACTTTCAGAATTATCTTTTAAATTGACAAACATCATATGTGTAATTGAGGGCACAGTTCAGACGGAATAAAAAGATAATTTGTCTCTCGCCATTGACTACCATTCATATTTTTTCCGAAATAAGGTCCCATGAGCCGGAAGCGGAGGAGTGGGATATCCTCCAGATCAAGACAAAAGGGGTTACAGTATGCAGTGAAGGCTTTTTTTTAAAAAAAAAACATTCTTCCTAGTTCAGATTTCATCCGTGAACTTCATACGCTGCACAAAAGTCCGCCACCATCAATGAATTCGGAGTAAAGGCAGAGATAGCAGGCGTTACCTAGCCACTTTCTATGACAACATAGACATATACACTAGACCTCACCTTGGGGCTCTAAGCATGCCTCAAAACCGCCGCCATCTTGGAACAGGGGTCTTGTCATAGGAAGTGGCTAGGTAATGCTGCTATCTTTGCCTTTACGTCGAATTCATTGATGGTGGCGGACTTTTGTGCAGCGTATGATGTTCACGGATGAAATCTGAACTAGGAAGAGTGTTTTTGAAAAAAAAAAAAAATTTCTTTCTTTCTGGAATCAATGATAAATACATGTCTGACCGTTGGAACAAACCAAAAAAACAAGAAAAATCGCATTCATGATGATTTATGGTGATTTTATTTCCGTTAGACCTGTGTCTACTACATTGACGCTGATGCATTAAAGTGGAGGGGCTCCCCTGTTTCAAGATGGCGGCTCTATTGACGCATTCGTTCCAATGAACTGCTGTAGCCAAGGTGACGTCTAGTGCGTCTATGCAGCAGCCATAGCTTAGCCTATGAGCGACCCAGATCCTCAATGTTTTAGCATGTGCATAAGCTTCAGTAAATCGAGGAAAAGGAGTTTCCCTGCACATTCACTATATAAAATTCACTGGAGGATAAAGTTCACGCGGCCGTCGTCAGATTTGGAAGTCACTGAAAAGGCTCTTTCACGGTGGCTTTCAGCCGACTTTAGTGAGGCGCGGTGGTTTATGGGAGGAGTAGTTCCTTTGAGGCAAGAGGCAAGACAACCCCCAAAAGGGAATGGTTTTGTAGGTGGTGGCCTTAGAGAATTCAGGGTTTTTCCTGGCTCAAAACAAGGTAGAGGTGGTAAAATCCTGATCATGGATGAAGAAACTACTTTTTAAAAGTATTTTAATAAGATAATTAGATTTTTATTTTTGAAGACTATCATATACTGTGTTTCCCACAGGATTTTTAGAATTCATTAGTCTGATGCACTTTGAGAATTCAAAATAAAGAGCTCCAAACCATGTTCAGTGTGCAAAGAAAAAGTCTGTGCATTAACTTATACTTAAACTTTAAAGGGAACTCTTGGGCTCATGCGCTATAGATGTGCATTTCAGCTCTAACGTCATATGAATCCCCTGTTAAAAATAAATAACCCAACTGCTCGAACCTATGATATTCTCTGATTTAGATATCTGCACCTGATCATCACATTACAATTATTCAAATTCTCAGTGTATGGTAACATATCACACTTGAAGTAGGCTGCTTTAAAATGTTTGAAGGCTGCCTAATGTTTTTTTCCTTTCAGTGTCCATCCCTTTGAATGCTTATTTTAAGTTTCCAACCCCACATAACAAATCTTTAACCCCCGAGTAAAATTGCAATGCCAAAATTTCCATTAGACAAAATAGTAAAAAATAAATAAGTCATCTAATCATGAAACCTGTTAAACACAGACTAGTGAGTTGGACATAAGAGGTTACAGTGAGGGGTAATTTATAGAAAATATAATTAACCTAGTACAAACTGTGGAAGACCATGAGATGTCCTCATTAAAGAAACTAACGTGTGTGTCTATGTGTGTTTGACCTTAAATAGGCCTTTTGTTCAGATGAGTGAGATAACATTTAGGAAAAACATGCAGCCAACTAACTCTGATATCTACAGTGCCTGAAGTGAAAAAGGCAAGAGGTCTGAGTGCTCTCAGGTGGGCAGAACGCTATCACTATCTGTAGAGATAAGAATGTTCAATAAGGAGATGACTGCCCCTTAGCTAAAGTACCAAAACAACCTTTAACCTCATTTACACGCATGTATAAATATGGTCCTGAGTGAAAAGAGGATGGGGACAGTGATTCAAAGGAACTGGTATGGAGAGAGACAAAGAAAGACAGAAGATGATGCTGGAAAAGGTCAAGACGGTGGCTTCTATGAGGGCATGTTACCAGGGCTTTGATCCTGTTGCTTATCTGCACTATAACTACACTCCACCCCGAGCAGACTTTGAAAGGAGAAGTAGCATTGTGCCATGGAAACTCCGCTGTCTGCACAGAGCCTTTACTGAAGGTGAGCATAAATGTTTGTAAGCAGTGCGGCAAGCACCATAGAGGTCCCTGGGTTGCGGATCTCTGTATTTTTCAAAGGTACATATAATAAAGATTAAATAATTGCCTAATATTAACTTTGGTGCTTTGGATATTGCAAAATGCCAAGATAACCATCTCATCTGAGCTGCCTCTGTGGTCTAACACCACTCATCAATGTCAAAAGGTGTGTTCAACTTGAATAGGCGCTGAGCAGACTGATAATGACATCAAAGTACAGCAAGAGCAATTCAAAAGAATACTGAGCCGTTTGCTCTCTAATTGCTTTTGTGGTACTTTGATGTCATACACTGTAAAAAATTATTTTTTGGTTAAGTAAATACTAGTGAAAAAACCCAATGTAATTTACTTGAAAAAGTTAGTTCAGGCAAGAATTTAAAAAACTAAGTAAATTCCATATCAGTACTTATTTCAAGCGAGTATAAATGAAAGTGTAATATCAACTCAATAAAATTAAGTACAAATTACTCAACTTTTCTGATACTGGGGTTCCCATCATGCACTGGACCTTGAATAATTAATGAGGTTCATTTTTCACTGGTTTCCAGCTGTATTTACACTGTTTTATCATTGATTTTTGTTTTCAGTATTAGTAAATTGCCATTTTGTGACATTTCGAGTACATTTTTTGCTTAAAACGACACATTCAAACACAAAAACGATCCATCAAATGTTACCACCATTGTGTATTGTCTACCAAGTATTGAGGTGTTTGCATTCACATAAGGCTTAAAGTCTGACATGATGTGTATATAAATTACTTAGATGATCTAAGTAAAGAACATACTATAAATGACTAATAAAATTCAAGATAATTGTTTTAGTGAAGTGTTATACAAAGGCAAAGGAAATCGGTATTAATCAACCTTTTACAAGCCGAGTTAAAATTACTTATTTTTTGTAAAGTTTACTTAATTCCACATTCCAAGTAAATTTAACTTAAAGATTTCTAATTAAAGCTACAGATAAATATGTTTAGGTTTTTACTTGGCAAATCTTTGTAAATTTACTAGCATTTTCTGAGTGAGATCGTTTAGCAAGGTTTTTTCAAGTAAATCCTACTCCAATTTTTTTACAGTGTACACTGATTGGTCATCTTAAACATTTTAGACCAATCAAATCAAAGTAGGAGAGCTTTATATTGACAGCAGCTGCTGAACCTAATTCCAGTCTAAAAAGCTTCAGTTAACGGTCATCAATTGCGAGATAAGATGAGATAACCATGAAAGTATATAAACTAAACGTTTACAGACGACAGACAGATAATCAGGGAAAAGCAAGAATTTCCCACTATGAAGGGATTATATGTTCTTTGCTAATTACAGTGGAAAGTATAGGCTCAATTTAACAACAATTGGATTGAGTTCTATCATTAGCATCTTGAAAAACCTTTCTATGATATGCCATTAGAAAATAAAATAAGTAGCACACAACAGCAATCCAGATAGCCTCATTGTGAAAACATTAGAAACTGAAAGCAAAATAAACATAAGAGGTGAAGACCATTTGAAGTTATTATTGCAACGAGAAACATATCAATATAAGTTAAAGGCAATGATTTTAGTCTCTATTTTTGAAACGGTTTATTTTTTTATATGTGGTAAATCCTTTTTTTCTTGTTCTGTTGGGTATTTATCTTTTTTTTCTATTCTAACACCATCTAGTAGTGTCCTTTAGATTTACTCCACCTAGTAGAGTGGTTTTCAGTCCTGGTCTGGGGGACTTGTCGCCCTCCACACATTTTGTAGGCTATGTCTCAGTCTACTAACAAGCTGATGATCCGAATCATGTTTGGTAAATTGACATACAAAATATGCAGAACGTTTGGTCCCTAGGACCAGGATTGAACACCACTGCCCTCGTGTTTTTTCTGATACTAATTATCTTTGAGTGCTGCTTCATTTGAGTCCAATTTGGCTGTTCTGGATAAGAGCCCTTTTCTTTTTTTCAGGTTTCATGGTTATTCAAAGTTCCCTTTATAAATCCCGGTTAGTGGAATATTGAGTTTTCAGTATAAAAAAATATATATATTTTAAGCAGCAAACTAAAGCATCACGAGGGACAGTGTTAAACTACCTCATGTCTCAAAGCACACAGTACAATATGAAGATAAACCACTTAAAGAACACTTACCTGTATCACCTGACTGCTGCAGCGTTGATAGTGTTGCCATTGAAACGCATTAATTAGAGCCACGAACCACTCCGAGTATAACATCATGGGTTTTCATCTCTTTCATCCAAATTACAGTAAAGTTTCAGGAGCAACTGCAAAAGGTGTCTGCTGTTTTGGTTACAGTCAGGGGCGGATTAGTGTCACGAACACACACAAGGGACAGAAGATCCATAAGCAGCAGTCTTTTATTTTGGGCAATCCAAACTCGTAGTCATCCAGTCCAGGCAAGGCAAGGTTCAATAGCCACAAAGGCAGTCCAGAACATAAACCGCAAACAAGACTCAGGCAAAGGTAGGACACAGAAGTGTGAGGACATAAAATAATGACTCTGTTCATATACTGACAGGGAATATACACAGATCTAACAAGACTAACAGTGAACAGCTGGGAACAATGATATGGGGAACAGCTGAGTGCAATGAACAGATGAGTGACAGTGATAGTGACAGACAGAATGCTGGGAAATGAAGTCAAAAGTGAAGGACACTGTGAGAACGAGGACCTCTAGTGACAACAAGGGAAACACAGGGTGAAACGGAGAGTGGAACGACGAAGTGGAATGCAGTGTGCGTGTGTTAAGCTCACCCTACGGATTTAACATTTGCATTTATAAAGTGTGTAAACATTCGCTTGTTAAGGATGAACAAAATGGCAGTAAAATTGACTGAGAAAGCTGTGGAAGGACACAAGTCCAGACAACTTCATGCACACGGGTGTAAGCTATCCCAGCTTACGAGCATGGTAAAGCATATTGAGCAATTAATGGAAGATGATGCAAATGCTAGCTGACATTGTTAAAAAATAAATTGCGTGTGGAGTTCAGTGGTTTGCAACAAGAATTTTCAGACTTCTGTTTTGAGAAAATTTATGTCTGATGAAGAATTCTTGGATGATCAAAAGAATTGGTTTGATCTTAAAAATAAGTCAATAAATGATTTCTTTTGGAAATGTGAGAAATGGATGAAAGAGGTCATGAAACGCTGTGAGCAGGCTGAAGAGATAAGGAAAAGAAAAGGAAGAAGCAGATTGGCATGCAGAAAAAAAGATGCAGGGAAGCTCAGCTGCAAGCAGAAGAAAAGCGCAAGAGGCAGAGTTTGATGCTGAGCAAAAAGAATTGAAGCTGCGATAAAGGCTAGAAAGGAGATGCCTGCAATGCAGACTGCTCTCGCAGAGTCAAATGCAAAAATTGAAGTTTTGCAAAAATATGAATGCACATTAGCAGCGGAGAGCATTATAGAAGCTAATGAACAGATCGCTGAAACAAAGGTGAACATCGAGCCCGTTCTCATCCCAAAGCGCCATATACGACGCTTTTGCAAAAGCGTAAATATCCAACGCACATGGCACCCTTTAACGTCAAATGAGACTCAGATATATTTGGGCAGAAGGCGCCCCCTAGTGGTCTAACCCTAACCCTACACCGTACCTAAACTTAACCATAACCGAAGCGTCTCATTAGACGTTAAAGGTGCAATACCTAAGATTTTTGCATTAAAATATCCCAAAATCACAAGGCCAGTGTTATATATTTAGTAAAGATGATAACTCACAATATTCCAAATGTTTCAAACAATGTTTAAATCGCGAGAAAATTGAGATTTTAACCAAGGAAACGGCACGTGTCAGCAGGGGTGAGCTGGGAGTCGCGAGTCAATCGCGTCATATCCGCTTACCTCGGTTTCCGCTCTTACTACGTGTAGTCCTGGACAAATGCGGTAGTTGTAGTTGTGCGTTAGCGCCTATCAAACGGCAGCTTGTTTCGCGCATTTGTTATGGAATGGAGCACATATATTCTTTTCATTTATTCTCGGAATGTGAACTGTTGGCTGTAAAGGGGGTCGCACACCGGACGAGAAGCGCCGCGTCACGTTTAGGACAACTCCAGTAACGTTATCGAACACCGGACGCGCACTTTCTCATCAGTGTATGGCCAGCAATATTGTTATGTTTAATGACAGAAAATGAAGATAATGTCTGTTCTATGTTATTGTACTGTACAATTAAATACAATCGTTGCTGAGTCTGCATTCTGAAAACTTTACCTCAGAGCATCCGTTCACAGAATGAATTGAGAATCTCACGTGAAAAATCTAATAATAATCAGTAATTGTCATTCAAGCAGCTGATTTCTGTAAATGACTGCAAAACTAAATGCATAGATATTGCAGCATAGGGCAAAGTCAGGATCCATTAGCAACGGTTTGAGGCAAAAATAATTACAATTGAACACGGTCCTGAAACGTTGCTGGGCGCCGCGGACAGACGCCGAATGGCGCCGCCGGTATGTGTACACTTATAGATAATAATGTGTTCGAATAATTATGTGGTGCAACGCGGCGCTGCAGCTTCTCGTCCGGTGTGCGACCCCCTTAACGTTAATTTTGTGAAACTGTAGCTGTGGTTGAATACTTACACGACATGAAAAGATGTGTCAAATGTACATTGCAGACATCCCAAGTCTCCCGGATCTCCCGCATATTGATAGCGTTTCCCTGATGCCCGCAAATTAGTTCAAATCTCCCGGGATATAATGTTAGAGCGAGACATACTGCGCGCATAACATACAGCGCGCTGCGCGTGCACTGTACAGAGGGAGAGACGCGTTTGTGCCTCGCGAACGCGAAAGTTAGCCTTCCCTCCCACCCCCACAATCTTGTTATCGAAATATACCTCCCGGAAATGAATTCTTGCAGGTTGGGATAACTGACATTAAATTGATTTTTTATTTTTATAAAGTTACCAAGGAGGGCCAACCACGTCAACTCCTTGCGAGAGACCTGCCCCTTCAAACCCTCTCCACCATAGCTTCGTCCAGTGACTCGTACAGTAACATCTGTGATAACTAATTTACTTTTAAACCTGACTTTTCTTGCACGGTTATTTCAGTTTAATGAAATACAAGCATGTCATTAAACGCAACGTTTATAGAAATCGAACTTTACCTCATCCATGACAACTAATTTTCGATTCCCGTCTGACTGATTTATCCACGGTGGAGTTGAAAACAACAGTTCCCATCATTCCGCGTTCCTCCACGGCGTCATCAAGCAAAGCCGTTGTTGTTGTTTTGAATGTAGCGCCCTCTAGCGGCATCTAGATCTTAGGTATTGCACCTTTAAAGGGTGCCATGTGCGTTGGATATTTACTTCACTCCGCCTGGATAGTAATATCAAGTATCTAGGCCCTCTGTGAGCCTCCTTGGTAAGGTGTCCTCATTTTTGGACGTAGATATGCCTCCTGTCACGTTTGAGAATCGTCATACTGAGGCCTCAGACCTCAACCAGGTGGTAGTACTGAGTCATTAGGCTCCCTCTAAGACATCTTGCTTACTGCCTGTACTATGGAGTGTTGTTAGGCCTCCTCTCGCTATAGATAGTCGCTATTTAGAGCCCTTTTTAGAGCCCCCAGAAAATTTTAGATGAATAAAACTGAGTTTATGTATCTTAAATTATCTAAGAAAGATCAATAAGGACTGCATAAAAGATGCTCGAGACAGTTGACGGAACTGTCACTGTCCAGGTCAGGCCAGTGCTGCATCATCATTTTATAAATTTTCAAATTTTATAAATTGCACAAATTGCACATGCCTTGCCAATTGAAATATTCAAGCGCAAGAAGACATGAAAGAGAACTCACTTTAGTATTTGTGCATTTTCTGAGCAGTTTTCTGTGTACATCTAAAGCATGTGCTCAAAAAGCCATGTCTTAGACTGGACGCAAGTACTAACGTGAGTTCTATTTGATGTCTTTTTGCACTTGAATGGACAAATTCACACCAAATTATTATTGAGTAAAAACAGCATTATAACCTCAAGTGATGAAGCAGTTTGTGAGAAGGAGGTGGCTTTGCCAAAATGGCTTTGCTAAAATCGCCTAGCTAAACCTTTAAGGTGCAAAATTGGTTACTGTTTGGGTAAACTCCGTTTGACAAACAACAAACTTCATCAATACAAGTTTAACTTTAATTTGATACTTGACCATAACTACTTACATTTAAACTAACTAGCCCAATAAATGAACCAGTCAACCATTTAATGCTATTTGCACTTAGTATAAATAGCCTCTGCCAATTACTATTGCAGAAAAAAAGAAATTATAAACAGAATAGGATAGTTGAATTCTGCAACTAACCTTGAATATCTGCTCTCTTTTACAGATGATATAAGAGGGGATGTTTTAGTTGATGTGGGATCTGGCCCCACTCTTTACCAGGTCATGAGTGGCTGCGAGAGATTTGATCATGTCATACTGTCTGACTTTTTGGAGGTGAATCGAAGAGAGCTGCAAAGCTGGCTACAGGAGGGCAAGAGTAGTATTGACTGGACTGCTTACTTCAAGTATGTGTGTGATCTGGAAGGCCGCAGGTGAGTTACCCTTTTCTTGTCCAAAAGAGAGAATTAAAGTTGTATATAGTTAAAGAATTCTTACTTACTTTAAAATAGTGCATGTGCAAATATGCACAAATCTATTTGCAAGCAATATATTTATTTTAATATAGCCTATGACACTTCCCTAACCACAATCTTTAGTTATATCTAGGGCTTATTTTTTTCCCAGTCTGCCCCTAACTTAGGCTGCATAGATTTTAAGGTACTCTGTGTGAGAATTACTTCCATCTAGCGGTGAAATTGTATTTTGTATTCAAACAAATTCAAATGCGTGTTGCATCTACGGTAGCCATTATGTACCAAAAAGCTACTGTATGACAGGAAGTCTTCTAATAGCACTTCATCAAGTGTTCCTTCAGGTGAAAAGGTTTGTAATTTTAAACAAACTGCAACTTGACACAGCGAACTAACAAATGTTACAGTATGAATTACTGACTACTGACTATTTCAAACTCGTACACCATACCTTTAAATCTAATAAAACCCGTCAGATCGTCCGATTTTTTGGCTGCCGCCAAATAAAATTTTCGTTCCAAAGCCTATTTTTGTCCAAAGCTTGTCCAAAGTTTGATTGGTGAGTAATTTAGAATAGAGACTGCTGTGCTTGACAGGGCGCATAACGAGGAGAGAGAGTGTCCCGGTCGCGCGCACTGTCACGTTTTCAAACACGAGCGCTGTCTTGCTCTCTCTGCCTCGTGATAGTAAAAAGTCGTCAGAACAAGTTCCTGTCTCTCAGGGTGATTTACATTCCAGGGCATATAAATGTGGGAGAAGACTTACAGTCTAGACAGCCTGACACACAGGGAATGGAAACTCTGAAGTACTCAAACAAATTTAGGAAAAATTGTACGATGCAGAGGTGGACCTCTTGACCTCAAACTCCTCCCAGGAGTCCTTGCCATGGTCTGCCAACAAGGGTCTTGCATCTTGCTGATAACGCCTCGTTGGAGTATGGTTCTCAGACCTAATATTCCTCCTTCAAGGCTCGCTGTGGGTAGCAGCAATGCTTCTGACTCTAAAGATGAGTTCTCAAGGTTATTACTTCTCTAAAGAGAAGGTGGGGATTTGCAGGCTCTGTCAGTATATTTCCAGTCTGTGCTCCTCAGACTTATGTCCACCACACCAGCCAGTGGTGTAAGTCAAAGTAGATTTTCATACGCTGTAAGGCCGCAACTCGGGGGCAGCAACCACCAAGCACATTTGGCTGTCACATCTGCTGAGTTGGCTGCCGTCCGGAAGGGAACAGAGGAGATGCTGCCGTTCGCCATGGGCCGGAGCCTGCTGCCATCCACCATGAAGGGGAGGAGCAGGGAACGGGGACTCCTGCTGTCTGCCCGAATCCGGAGGAGCCTGCAAAGTGTAACATCTTGCGTTACATCGTCATATTACAAAAGTAAAAATGGTTGCAAAAGCAACGTAAAAGCAAGTATAAACAGTACAGTAATAACATTTGCATTGAGGAGATTTCAAGCATGAAATCTTCAAATCAGTTAAAAAAATTTGATTTTAATCAATTGGATGCAAACACCACATAAAAAGTATCCGTGAGAAGGCAAATATCTAACTGTGTCTTGAATCTTTTGATTTTCTCTAGTTCATCGGCTTGGGCAGAGAAAGCTACACGTCTTCGCTCAGTTGTGTCTAATGTGCTGCCCCTTGATGTTCACCAGTCCTGCCCATTATCACCAGGGTTCTTGCCCCCTTCTGGAGCTGACTGTCTGGTGTCATCTTTCTGCCTTGAGAGTGTAAGCCCTGACTTACTTTCCTTCACCAATGCCTTAGGCCACATCTCCAGCCTGCTTAAAAAAGGTGGATACCTTCTACTAATTGGTGCCCTAGGAGAGAGCTTCTACATGGGTGCTCCAGGGCTGTACATTCCTGTGGTCCCTCTGGATGAGTCTCAGGTCTGTGCTAGTCTGAAGGCCAGTGGATATGAGCTGTTGCAGCTTTGTATTTACCACCTGCCACCAGATATGAAGGTGGGGGTAGATGATGTCACTGGTGTGTTCTTTGCAAAAGCCAAGAAAGCATAAACATTTTAGTTGAAGAATACATTCATTGGAAAGGTAGGGAATTAATGTATGTTCTTTATATTGCTTCACTTTTAAAAGATAAAAGATGTTGAAAACAATCATATTGTCATACACATCTGAGTTCACCTCATTCACTGCACATAAACTCTGCAAACGTTAAACTGTGAATGCACAATTTACTAATGTTTGATTTCACTCATTAAAATTAACCTCAAAGCTAAATTCAGCTCATTTATTTCAGCTAAACTTGGCAAAAGTCATTTTTTTTAGAATTTTGTATTTTAAAGATAATTTTGTAAAATCCAAATAAGCTTTACATATCTTAATTAAAAAGAGTTTAAACAATATTTTTCAAGCTTGTTCAGTGAACCATAAACAATTATTACACATGCACCAGTGGAACACTCCTTAATACACATTTTTTTCACAGTGGTAGACAATAAAGATGAATTAGGATAGTGTTACATGGAGACTGAAAGGAATAGTACCATGTGTATTGTGTAACCATGTGTCTCCTCAGATGTGTTTGAGAACTTGTAAATGTCTTGGTAGAAGAGTAGGATAACATCTTACAGCAAAAACAGGCAAATCTGGTGCAGTCCATGAGTATATGTATATGTACCAGTACTTAAAGGGGAACTTGGCAACTCTAGCCATTTCTTCGCTGATTTTCACTTTTGTTGTCACATGTTTTCTCATCGAGCTCCCCCTACAGCTGTGGGGCATATATTTCACAACACTGTCGTAAAAAACTCACTTGCGGCACCCTCCTCCCCCTTTCTACAGCTTCTCACGTGTATTTGTTCTTATTGTAGCCGCCCAACTTTATCGTGTGGAGCTACAGTATGTCTACCGAGGTGTATAATACATCATACACAGTATCATAGAATTATATCGAATTGCCATAAAGCAGTTTGTGTTTTCTGTCTGGGAATGCTGGAGGAGAGGGGGAATTCACCATTTTCAACAGAGCAGGTTATTTAACCATCCAAATGATTTCTTAACGGTTTTATTTTCGGTTTTACAGTGTTTTACAGTAAGTTGACATTGTCACCAAGTTCCCCTTTAAAGCAGCTAGTGGCTACACCAGAAGCTGACTTTTATTTTTGACCCTCCATTGGGACTGTTTGTCAAATGTATGTGTGAAACTTGTTCAATTTATGTCTCAGTTGTTGAATATAATTTCATACAAATACTTACATGTTAAGTATTTGCTGGAAATAAAAAAAGTTGAAAGTGAAGACGTTTCGTTATTTTTTTAATGAGTTTGGTATTGTCAGTCTCTTGAATATCATACATGACAGTTCATTGACCCTCTATGAATGAATTATGACAAGCTGAGTCTTAATTCTGATTTCTTGACTCTTCTGAGTTTTAATTTTCCCATGAAAAAAAAAACAAGTGTTAATACATTTTTTTTCTTTCTTTTAGCACTTTATGCCATTGATGGAAATTTCCAGGGTGAAATACACATATTCTGAATCAGTGCAGGGCTTCAGAATAATAATAAAAACAATTATTTAGCATACTTGTTTATTTACTCTAATTTATTTTATAATGTACTTGATTTTATCACGGGCAATTATGCATTCAAAATCTAAATCTCTGTCCATTATTTTGTGAGCAAATGTTGATAAAGGTAATTATATTCTGTGCCATTTGTAGCTTTGGATAGCAAAAAGATCACGATAGATATTTCTTGGGAGCCATTCTGGTTAAAAAATAAGAAAAAATTGTTTTAGGAAGTAAGGCATCTCACTTAAGTTTCATTGTAAAATCACACTATTTGTTTAACTTAATTTATAAACACATAATATGATATAGATATTGACAGAGAACATATCATTACCACCATCACTTGTCATTACCATCACAACAAGTTGACGTGTTGCGGTAATGGCATTTTTTTTCTTTTTTTTGAAATTCAGGAAAGTAGTGAACAAAAGAGAAGTACAAATGAGAACAGAAGGGGGGGTTAAAAGCCACAGTTAAAGCTTTGCCAGGTGCAATTTATATGACAAGTTGAAGTTCGATGTACTTTATATAGGCATACACGAAGTGAATGAAAACAAAACGAAACAAAACACAATTGTAATTTAAGTTCACACTGAAATTATATTTACCTTTGTTGATAATCCAATAATCAAGAAGTCAGAGAACACATCAGTAAGCTTCTCAAGAAGGGAGTGATTCTAGAAAGCACCAGTGCTTATGCCTCCCCTATAGTGTTAGTGAGGAAGACGGATGGCAGCCTCAGGCTGTGTGTCGATTACAGACAGCTCAACGCTAAGACCCGACGACATGCGTTCCCTTTACCTAGGATTGATGAGAGTTTTGACGCACTTCAAGGAGCAACATTCTTCTCTTCAATTGATCTGGCGAGTGGATACCATCAGGTTGCTGTTCACAAACGTGACAAGCATAAGACTGCATTTACAACTCCATTTGGGATCTTTGAGTACTCCCGTATGCCCTTTGGGGTGTGTAATGGGCCATCAATGTTTCAACGCCTGATGCAGACTACAATGGGTGAACTAATATTTCAGATCATGCTAGTGTATTTGGATGATATACTAGTGTACTCTGCCACTTTTCCAGAGCACTTGCGGAGATTGGAAATAGTCTTTAAGAGGTTGAAGGAAACTGGTCTTAAAGTTAAGCCTGGAAGTGCCACTTCCTGCAGCGAGAAGTAACCTTTTTTGGTCATCGAATCTCAGCAGAAGATGTCGCTACCGATCCAGGGAAAATCGAGGCAGTGAGTCAATGGAAAGTCCCCAACACAGTGAAGGAACTACGCTCGTTTTTAGGGTTCTGTGGCTACTACATAAAGTTCATTGAGGGGTTTTCTAGGATTGCTGGGCCCCTTTATGATTTAGTGAATCTGTATTTCCCAGTTTGGTAGTGCGAGAAAGGATTTCAGTGCTTTGTGGTCATCTGAGTGCCAGTCAGCATTTGAGCTCCTGAAAGAGAAGCTCACCTCTGCTCCTGTGCTGGGGTATGCAGATTTTACTCTTTCATTCATCTTAGAGACTGATGCAAGTAATGAGGGCCTGGGAGCAATACTATACCAGCAACAGGGCGAATGTAAGAGGGTCATTGCATTCGCTAGTAGGAGACTTCGGAAGGTGTAAAGGAATGACCGGAACTACAGCAGCATGAAACTGGAGCTGCTGGCCCTTAAATGGGCCATCTCTGAAAAGTTTTGTGGTTATCTGCTGGGCTCCAAATTTGTAGTCATTACTGATAACAACCCTCTCTGCCATCTTAAAACAGCCAAGCTCGGTGCAATTGAGCAAAGGTGGGTCGCTCAACCAGCCGTTTTTGACTTTGAAGTGAAATATCGCCCTGGCCGACACAATACAGCTGCTGATGCTCTGTCTAGACACCCTTCAGCAGGGAAGCTTACCATTCCTGACGAGTATGACGACTGTGTTGCTATTTGTAATGTAGTCAACAAAGGGACAGTCCTGCAGCCTGACTTGGTGATTGCTGGTGAGAGCTGTTGCAGGGTCAGACAAATTCGTGCCTTAGATTGTAGAGAAGTTACAGGACATGACAGCCAGGGAAGTATGCATAGATTTCCAGAAGAATGATCCTCCCATCAGTTCTTTCAGAAACTTCTGGGAAATCAAGAGAAAGCCCTCCCACGCTGAAAGATCTCGACTTTCGAAGTCCACCCTATCTCTGATAAAGCAGTGGAAAAGTATCCAGGAGCAAGATGGTTTGCTTTATCGTATTGTGAAGGATCAACATCAAGGTGAATGTAAACAGTTGCTCTTACCTGAGTGTTTAAAAAAACCTGTCCTCAAAAGTGTGCATGAAAACGTGGGACATCAGGGGATTGAGCGCACCATTAGTCTGTTGAGACCGCGATGCTTCGGGGTGGGTATGTACAACGATGTGGAGCAATGGATCAAAAAGTTTCAGAGATGTATCTTAACAAAGATGCCCCAACCCAGGATACATGCTCCGATGAAGCCCTTTCAAGCGTCTAGACCCCTTGAGGTAGTGGCAGTTGATTTTACTGTGCTCGAACCCTCCTCGGATTGTCGGGAAAGTGTGTTAGTCATGACCGACGTCTTCACCAAATTCACACAAGCATTCCCAACTAGAGATCAGAAAGCTGAAACTACCACTAAACTCTTGTTGAGGGAATAGTTTGTGAAGTATGGTGTACCTGAAAGATTGCATTCTGATCAGGGAAGAAATTTTGAAAGCGAAGTGATTGCTGAGCTGTTTAAAATTTATGTTGTGAAGAAAACCCGCACTACACCCTATCGGGCTCAGGGTATGCTCAGTGCGAGCGTTTTAATCGAACACTCCATGATTTGCTACGCACACTTCCCCCTGAAAAGAAAAGGCACTGGCCAGAACATCTCGCTGAGTTGGTTTATGCATACAATGTCACTCCACATGCAACCACTGGATACTCACGATATTACTTACTTTTTGGAGTCCATCCACATCTTCCCGTAGATACCCTGCTAGGTCACGAACAACCTGTGGATGGAAAACAAGACTGCTTAGTGGTTCATCAAGAGAGATTGAAGGAAGCACACAGGAAGCACACAAAAAGGCAAGAGAATATGCTGAACACAAGGCTGAGAGGTTAGCCCCTGTGAATGACAAGGTGTATTGTCCTGTGATCAATGTTGGTCAGCAGGTGTATCTGTGCCACCAAACTTTGGGTAGGAATAAGATACAGGATTCATGGGGTCCTACCGTTAACAAGGTCATAGATGTGGAAGGTACCACACACATTGTTGAACCTCTTGAGGGTGGCCCTATAAAGCGATTGTATAGAGCAGACTTACGGCCCTGCGTCACTTATGCTCCTGAGCCAGAAGTGATGGAGAACAATCCTCCTACAACGCCACAGCCAAAAGGAGTTCCTGAACATGTGCTGGTTGAAGTGCATTCTGATCCTGATTTTGTTGTTTTAGAGGAAGTCACTTACCCCAGTGTGCCAGAGACAAAGCAGATTGAAAGTTCCGCAGAAAATGATGAAGCACTGGTAGATCAATCCAGCTTGGTTTCTGCTAGCACTGAACAAGAAGATTTTGTACTTGAGCAGGTTGCCCCTGACACTAGCTCTGCTCTAGAAGTCGAAGAACCAGTCCAGAGAAGGCCTGTACCAATGCCTAGGAGAACAAAAAGGGCCAATGCTGGTCTACACTCAAACCCCTTTAATGAGCCGAGATAAGTATGCAATGCAGTGTCACTTAGCCCCGAAGTCTTTTCTCAGGTGTTGACAAATTTAGGCAGTGTGTTCTTTAGAGAAGCTGTCAAAAAAGTGAAGAACATGTATAAGTCATCGAGGACAATGACATTTAGCAGGGGAGAATGTAGCCAAGTGGGATGAGTATCACAAAATATGACGCATGACTTAAATTGATCGAGGTTCTTTTAAGAGATTGTTGCGACGCTCACTTTACGGCATTGCCTCACGTAGTGTGTATGCACCAGTTTTCAGTGAAGAGAGCAGTGAGAGCACGTGAGAGCTGCTGGTTTTGTTCATATACACCTAGTAAGACTTTGTGAGGTAAATATACAGTTTAATTCCCATGAACAAAGTGTTTAAATGTTATATTTACGTATTGCATAAATGTGTGTTCATTGGGAAATGTTTATAGATAGTCTTTTAAGCTGGATTGGGTTTGATCACGCGTGGGATACGTGCAAAGACTGGGTATGTGTTGTAATAATTGTTAATTAAATTGTTCCTCTATTTGAAGCCCAGTGTTTGTGAATGTTTAAATTGTAGGCTATGTTAGAAACCAGTGGGTTATTTTAGCATTAAATATCTGGTTAAGAGCTATGGAACAGATTGAATGATGTTTGAACAGTGTACTACTTTTCCTTTCTTTAAAACTGTAAGCAGATAACTGCGAAGTTTGATGGTAGACTAATGTACTGTTTTTCATTTGACTATTAGCCTCTACCGTATTTCATTACAGTGTTTATTTTTTTCAAATGTCTTTCATTTAATTTGATTTCATTCAGTTGGTGTCAAAATCATCTTTTATACCAACCAAGTGCCACAAAGAAATGTGAAAGACTTTGTCATTCCATGTTATTATTTTTGCTTAATATTTGCTCCTTTCGACCGCTGTCCTTTATAGAGACAGCAGCCAGAATAAAGCCCAAAAAGTAATTTTTGTATTCTGTGCAGTTTTATTCAACCACTGGTTACATTCATAAACTTCACCTTTATTGTCAGCCGTGCTCTCCTCTGTGCTCGAACGACCGGTTGACTTCCTGAGTCTATGAAACCACTCCCTCAGGCAGTGGGCTCAGATTGGTTAGTTTGGGCCGGTGTGTTGTGATTGGCTAAACTGTTGCTCACGTTGTCCAGAAGGACGCCCATTACCTTTACTGGCGAAACGTGCATCTCATAAGCTCCGGTCCAAATGTAAATAAGGTAAATAATGGTGTCAAACTGCATTATCGGTTTGAGGCAGAATCAGACCGAGAAAGCAGCGATGAAGAGAGTCGAGCAGAAACTCACCACACACGGCTCTTACTAAATGTTTCTGAATGATAACTTGCTACATTTTTAAACTTTATACACATTTTTTTAACACAATAGCATCTGACTGACAACAATATCAACGGACTGGCTACTAAACAGGGTTGGCATTAGTTTACGTTCTTGATCAAATCGAAAATAACGTCATAAAACATATATACATGAAAAAACATTTACAACATTAGTACTTATACAAAATTCAGGCCCATAATATTTGTACGCATTTGTCGTAGACACAAAATAGCATAACTAGTTGCCTAGTGCCAGCACTGGAATTTGAAAAAAATAAAACACAAGGCTACGTCTGGAATTATACATGCAAATACATTTAAAATGTTTAAGTCTTAGCCTACTTACAGTTTGTGGCCCAACAACTGCTGCCTCTGGTTTTAAAGTTGGAACTGCTTCATGTTTTAGTAACAGTTTCTTGTTGAATCCGGTGTTGAATTCGTGGAGATTCTGGAAGCTGTCTTTCATAAAATGCGCAGCAGAGAGAGCTAAATTACGATCGTCATTTTCAGGAACATAATCAAACATAAGAACACACAGAAGACCTGACAGCTGGATGAACATAACACACTCGACGAGCCGCTGAAATATGGTCATGCCCTTTTCCAACATGACATCATGACTTTTGCGTAAACATACACGCTAATTTCGAATCAAGTGGCGTGTTATCTCGACGCAATTTGAGCTATCCGCGTGTATGCGTGTATGTCTACGCCATTAACGTCCACGTCATTCCGCGTGTCTGTACACGCCGTCAAATGTCCGAGCAAAACAAAGCAAAATGTACATCTACATCTGGGGAGCTATGTTTTTCTTTCCTAGGATGGTGAGGGAACAGTCATAAATGCCATTAACCCCAGTGATGGTTAGGTTTAGGGACAGGGTTGAGGTAAGTCATATATTTATATATACAGTAATAACGTTAAGTCAACGGCGTTCATAAAAACGCTGAAAAGCGATTATGCGTGATGATAGCACGCCAAAAATGGATATACGAATTGGCGTGTCATACACGCGCTACTTCATGAGCTCTACCTTTTCTGCATATTCCGGAGGGAGGGTTGATGCAAATGTATGGGATAGTGACGTCTAAAACCCAGCTGTAGTCCCAATCGAGTCGTTTTTGTAGGCAATATACTTCCTGATTTTTAAAAGACGATATCTCTGCTTACACTAAACTTTCAGCGCTGCAACTTTGCAGATACTGTTCATGTACCAACAGCAACATTACACACTATTTAAAATCAAAAAAGTGAAATCGCAATCAATGGAATATGGTGCGATACTGTCGGAATTTGACAATTTTTTTTTTTACAGCAAGGGTTAACAGTGTATTTCACTTTACTTTTTTTTTTTTTAAAGGCAATCAGTTTGCATACTTTTTTTTAAGTAAGATTAACTAATTCGATTTTTCCAGTGCATTTTTAACCCAATACCTTAGCAGTAGGATAAACAACACTAATCAACACTCATGGAAGCGTGTTTCTGTGATGGCAAATCTTTCCCTCTTCTGACTGCTGAAATCATTCTCTAAAATCTTTTCTCTCTTTTGTAAAGTCATGGAAACACTATAACAAATTTAGGGGGTTTATGCTATTGGAGCAAATGGAAAATTATAAACCAAAATTATATTTGCTGTCTTCTCCTTTTCACCGCTATAGAAGTTTACTATGACTTTCTGCTTCTGAGAACCCTAGAAACATGAAAAGGGTCCATAGCCTGCAGAGTAAACGATAATACGCTGATAAACCAGCTCTGCTGCCCCCTGCTGGCCTGGAGTAAATATCTTTATACTGAAGCAAAGCAGACACACAAGAATAAAATATGCAAGAAAAACAATAATGTTGTGGGTTTACAATGTTAATAATGTAAAGTTTTACAGTCTTTCAGTATCAGAGTAATCGTGTGAATCAGGAAGCTTGTCTTTCACTGTGATTGCCATAGCATTTAAGAAAAATATGAAAAACAGGATGTTCTTAGTTATTTGTTATTGCAGTAAGAAAAACTTACACTTGTCTTCACACAAATATAACTTAATAGATTCTCTTTTTTACATAAATAATAATTCTAAAGTTAGTTATTTCATGAAATGCTGACAGCAACTATAAAAAATGATGACTAATGATCAAATGAAGCTGAAAGATATCCAAGCTATCATGAAGATGAAGGAATTCATGTTAATTTCCACAAATCCATTTTCTCATTGTTGAGCATGGGATGTCATTCCAGTTGTTCGGGACGAGTTTTGCTGGATTCAGTTCAATACAATCCTCATTTCCATCCGCGTTATTCGGTTCATTACGTTCCCAAAACCTTGAATGAAATACAATCAAATTCAGTTCCTGAAGAGCTCTTAAAGCATGTACTCACTCATGCTATACAAATCAATATGCTTCTAAATACAAATACAAAAGATACAAAGTAATCTGATAGTGATAATCTGATATTTAAGGGTTAATGTACATCCAGCCGGTTGTTATCTTAACTCTGTGATTGGTAGATCGGTGGAGGGGGGCGCATCATACCAAAACACAACATGACAACATCAACATCAGTTAAGGACTGCAACTTCACTTTTTTAATGACAATATCCTGGCTGGACTACTGTTGTTAGTCATATATGTATTTGAAATTAACATGATTTCTTTATGTCTAGTGACATATCATGGGCCATTTTTTGATTATTTGTAATTTCTTACATACAGCTCCTTTAAGAGAGACATGGTTTACAATCATATCACTTTATGGCACTTCGCCACATAAATAATTACAGAGATAAGATATATTGATTTCTATGGAGGTGTATTGCATTCACTTGAAGAAAAAAAAATCTACTCTGTTTTTCTGAATTAACGAGTTAATTTTTCATGAGAAAAAAAATTGCTCTGTTTTTCTGAATTAATGAGTTAATTTTTCATGAGAAAAATTTTTTTTGCTCTGTTTTTCTAAATTAACGAGTTAATTTTTCATGGAATTTTTTTTTTTTGCAAAACTTTTTTTCTCACGAAAAATTAACTCATTAATTCAGAAAAACAGAGCAAAAAAAATTTCTCATGAAAAATTAACTCATTAATTCAGAAAAACAGAGCAAATTTTTTTTCTCATGAAAAATTAACTCGTTAATTCAGAAAAACAAAGTAGATTTTTTTTCTTCAAGTGAATGCAATACGCCTCCGTAGATTTCAGATTAAACTGTTTTAAAATTGTACCTGTTTGTATAGCATATTCCAACAGTGTACAAAACAATAGTCACAAAATGGCTGCAGCTGTGTTTGTATGAAACAAGAGAGAGCGAGTCCATGACACTGGATGGCATAATTATATAACTGTACACAAAACTTACCCTTGTTTCAGTGGTGAATTATCCACCCATTTCATGTTACCCTCGTTCTCAATGTCAGACAAACCAATCCATACACTCTCCTTGATGAATGAAGATATGAACCTCTGTGAGAATAAATCAATTAAAGAGTGAGAATCAACATTACATTTTAGATCTTCATCTGGAATTATTTGACGGACAGACAAAGACAATTACCAGCATTAAAAATTAATATTCAAAAGCAAGAACAAATGAAATATGAAAGAAGTTTGTTGTATCATAGTAGCATTTATTTTCCAAACTGTGATTGTGAGACTCTAGTGTAAGTAAGTTACTAGTGTGAATTACTGTTGGTTGTTTTGTACGTATGACACAATATATTTAAGTATGTTCACTCACAACAGAATTACCGTAAACTACATATAGTTGCCTCTATTCTCACCTGCTTCTCTTCAGTGTTGATAATGATCAGATCAGCTCCTCGATCTCGGCAGAACTGCCTGCTCTCAGACCAGCTCTTCAACTCACTGGATATGAAAAACCAGCCATTTCCTTTCAATAAACATAAAAAATTAAGTGAAACTTGGATATGATTCATTCATTACACAAATACTGATATATTTCAAATGTTTATTTAATTTAATTGTGATGATTAAAAGCAGGCAACTAATGAAAATCCCAAATTCAGTATCTCTGAAAATTATAATATTGCTTAAGACCATTACAAAAAAAATATTTTTTTAGAAATGTAGGCCAACTGAAAAGTATGAACATGAAAAGTATGAGCATGTACAATACTTGGGTCTCTTTTTGCCTGAATTCCTGCGGCGTGGCATGGAGTCGATCAGTCTGTGGCACTGCTCAGGTGTTATTAGAGCCCAGATTGATCTGATAGTGGCCTTCAGCTCTTCTACATTTTTGGGTCTGGCGTCCCATCTTCCTCTTCACAATACCCCATAGATTTTCTATAGGGTTATGGTCAGGCGAGTTTGACCATTTAAAGCCCTTTGCATGTGTTTTCAGTTAATTAGCTGAGTAGAGTGTGGCACCAGGTGTCTTCAAATATTAAACCTTTTCACAATATTCTAATTTTCTGAGATACTGATTTTGAGGTTTTCATTAGTTGTCAGTTACAATAAGAATTCTGGAAAAGTTGGGACGTTTTTTAAATTTGAATAAAATTAAAACTATAAGACTTTCAAATCACATGAGCAAATATTTTATTCACAATAGAACATAAAGAACATAAAAAATGCTTAAACTGAGAAAATTTACACTTTTATCCAATAAATGAGCTTATTTCAAATTTTTAATCCTGCTACTGGTCTAGAAATAGTTGGGACGGTTGCACGTTTAACATGGTGTTACATCTCCTCTTCCTTTCAAAACAGTTTGAAGACATCAAGTTTATGAGTGTCTGGAGTTTTGATGTTGGAATTTGGTCCCATTCTTGCCTTATATAGGTTTCCAGCTGCTGAAGTGTTTGTGGTCGTCTTTGACGCATTTTTCGTTTAATGATGCGCCAAACGCACAGAGATTTCTCCAGTTTCTCCAGCACTGTAGATGATGAGATTTGGAAAGCCTTTGCGATATGACGTTGAGGAAGTGTTCCACAATCTTTTTATGCAGTCTTTCATTGATTGGAGAGCCTCTGTCCATCTTTACTTCTGAAAGACTCTATCTCTCTAAGGCTACGTCCACATTAATCCTGATACATTTGAAAACAGCGTTTTTTGTTTAAAAACGCTCCATGTCCACATCGTTTTCAGGTGTTTTTCGACGTTTCAGTGTGGATGAGAAACTTCTTAATTCACCTTACTGCGTATGCGTGAAACCTCACAAAAGTTCACCAAGATGATACAGATTGAAAAATAAATAATAAAGTTATCACGCAATTCTTCTAAAAGGATAATTTTATTTACGTAGCAAAATATCATGAGTCACATGACTAAGCTTATGTCATCGTTTTCAAATACCTCCGGCTTCACAGTCCATAGTACAATGTGAAAAAGGCGTTTTCAAATTTATCCGCTTTGGAGAGCCTTTTCCAAAAGATACGTTTTCATTGACTTAAAACGCTGTCTCAGTGTGGACGGAAGGCCAAAACGGAGAGAAAAATGTACATTTTCAAACGAAAATGTTTTAGTGTTGACATGGCCTGAGACATCACTTTTACAGCGAATCATGTTATAGACCTGATATCAATGAACTTAATTAGTTGCTAGATGTTCTCCCACCTGAATCCTTTCAAAATTTCTAGATTTTTCAACCATTTGTTGCTCCGTCCTAACTATTTTGAGACCTGTTGCAGGCATCAAATTTGAAATGAGCTCATTTATTGGATAAAAGTGTAAAATTTCTCTGTTTAAACATTTGTTATGTTCTCTATGTTCTATTGTGAATAAAATATTGGCTCAATTGATTTGAAAGTCTTTTAGTTTTCATTTTATTAAAATTTATAAAACATCCCAACTTTTCCCAAATTAAAAGGAATGAACACTTGAAGTATGTCTGTATGTAATGAATGGATTAATGAATTTCACTTTTTGAATGGAATTACTGAAATGAATAAACTTTTTGATGATATTCTAATTATATGACCAGAACCTGTAATTGTACTGACCTCGTTTAGATAACTCCCTTAGATCAGTCTCTAACTCCAGTTTCTTCTGATTCAAAGCATCAAAACTTCCCTGTAACTGACTTTTCTCAGCAGTGAGATCATTGACTCTAGTCTCCAGCTCCAGTTTCTTCTGATTCAAAGCATCAAAACTTCCTCGTAACTGACTTTTCTCAGCAGTGAGATCATTGACTCTGGTCTCCAGGTCCAGTTTCTTCTGACTCAAAGAGTTGAATTTGTTTTTCAGTTGGTCATTTTCAGTCATTAGATTAGTGTTCTTGTCCTGTAAGCTGATGATGGTGTGATTGAACTCTTCAACTGTGTTCTTGTAACTCTTTAACAGGTTTCTCTCTGCTGTGATGGTGATGTACAGTGTGATGAAGACCAGCAGAAGAACACAAATGAGCCCGAGACACACTGTCATCAACACCAAACACCTTCTTCCTCCTGACAAACAGAGACAAAACACACACATATCAGTTAACAAATTGTGCTGTAAAATTATGGTAATCTACTGGCATCTGTGGTTGCCAGCAATGTACTGTTCATTAACAGCTCTCCTTTTTTTTACTGTATGTTACCATAAAAATACCATGGAAGGTAACTCATATCATTTGGGAAACCACTTGCTTTAAACAGTTCGAGTTCAAAACTAGTATTGAGACTGATAGTACTCTAAACATAACTTGAGTCCACTGAACATGAATATCTCTTTATTTAAAACTGCAAACACCTAATATGTAATAGTGATCAAAAACATGATTTTAACTAAAGTCTTTGCAGTTTTGTATAGCAAACAATAGCAGACATGTAAGTGCTAATATACTAAGCAAGGAGATTGTCACTGCATCTACACAGTTACTGTCTGTTAAATAAAGCAACAGGCAGCATAACATCAGTGTTTCTCTGCTCATCTTTGACCGAAGCACAGGCTCTACTCTCCAGGACAATGATGACCCACAAAACTCATTAATTAAACTAACAGTTCTGTCCTATATTATCCTGCAGAGGTGGAAAGTCCAGGGGTCAGAAAATAAATGTTCTTCCATATTATTTTTCCACCCATAAACTCACACAGCAAAAACTCAAGTTTTAAATGAACTCTCCTACGAGAGGCACACACAGACATCAATAATCAATGTATGAATCTCAACAATGGTGACAAAACGTATTATTAAGAAATTATTAAGACAATTCAGATCATAATTTATTCTTACTGCAATGCATGATGGGAGCCATGAAAGAGTTCTGATTGGTGGCACCCAGCAGTAGCGGTTTTAGGCACTGGCGAACCGGGCAGTCGCCCGGGGCGGCATTTCTTCATGTCAGATGGGGGCGGCACGAGCAGTTAAAAAATCCTCTGTGCCGCGAAGGTTTTCTATTTTTTTATTATTTCGATTCAATTATTGGCAATGGCACCCCTGGGGGAAGCGTGCTCATTATGCGCTCACGGGAAACGCGCTCATAAACTTTTCAGCACGAGCACCCAAACACTTGGGTGTTTTTCTCTTCTCCGTAAATAAATCTTTTAGTAGAGCTCCAGCAAGCGTTTTTCTGTGGTGGAAATACATTCACTACTAAAACTTCTCTGTCGTTGTGGAGAGCGGAGTGCATGGTTGTAAAGCAACGACAGCCATGGGGAAATCGGACTGAATTTTACTATTAATAATAAAAGATAAGCTACTGTGCATTATAAATGTCAGGAATGTATCTTTATTGACTCATTCTTTTTATAGAGATGATTTAAATGCTGAAATATGAGGTTTATCTTTTTATAAAACCTTTTTTGTGTTAACCTTTTTATTAAGTTTAGTAGGTAACACAAAAGACACTCCTTTAAAACAAATCTTTAAATGTTATTAACTTGGTGAATTGATTTCATTGTGTATTAGGCTTTTTGAACAAGATTCTGTATGTGATCATTTTGGTCACTATATTCATGAAATGAAAATAATTTTCATAATGATCAACTAAAATCAACTTTAATTATGTGTTTTTTTTACAGTAGCCTATAATATGCAAAGTGCAATGTTCTATTTTCTAAATAATCTCTGATTCTGTCCTTTTCTCTGACATTTTAAGAGTGACATAGGGCTACAAAAGCTATTTTAGGTCTATAACAGTTTGGATAGTTGTTAATATGAGAGCTGTTCGAAATTATTTAAGAGATAGCCTAAGTATTGTGTTACTACAAATTTCGTGCCATTTCGTGCAAAGTATAGTTTAACAAGTCATAACTAAAAATGTGCCTTGCATATAATTCAAGGCAGTAACCAATGTGCTAAAGTTAGATTAATCTAGTAAAATAACTGGATTCTATTAACTGTCTTTCAAATGAACAAATTAATTTTATTTTTGGGTTGTTGTTGGTCTCGAAGTTGGTCTCGCCCTGGGTGTAATTCAAAGTAGAACCGCCACTGGCACCCAGAATGCACTGCAACATGCTTTATTATTGTCACCATTGTTGAGAATCACAGGCTGATTCTGATGTCTGTGTGTCCAAATAAAAGTCGTTTGATCAGAACTATTCAGAAAACTTTTGGATTATATTGAGAATACTGAAAATAGAATTCTGCAGAATCACTGACTGTTGTAATCATGGTAATCAAGGTAAACCCTAACTCTTAAAATGTTCAGATATTCAGGGCAAATGATGATTATGTTAAAACAAAACCAACACTACCTGATGACATTTTCACTTTGCTAACCTGGCAGTTATAACTCAGTTAGAGCTGCCAAACAAAATCTAAAATTAAATATATTAAAACTTAGGTCAACTGCCCAACTAAAGCAAACACTGATCTCCATAATGGTGACTACAATTTGATTGTTCTCCTTCAGTAATTCTACTTATTAACATCAGGTGCCTTCAATTATGGTCAATCATCACTCAATCAATCACTTAATTAGCGATAATACATGAATGTGTTCATATTTTAAATAAACGTACTGTAAAATAAACGTACTGTAACTGCCTGATGAACATTACTGTGAACACGTTCATTCTGGTGTCTGTGAACGTGCGCTCTCTGTCAGTTTAACTTCGTACAATAGGGTGCCAGGCTTCTATAGAGCCTTCCAGGCGAAAACCTGGCTAAAACACATGTAAACATGCCTTAAAATGTAGCGAAAAAACACCCAATCTGGCAACACCAGCCACCAGTGTCGCACCGCGGCCGCCGGCGACAAAGCAAGGCGCGCGGAGGACGCGTACTATCAATTAAACGGGTTTTATGACGAGGTCGGTGAGAATCTGAAAAATCTTACATTTATGTGCAAACTTTGCCCGTCGATAAAATAATTGTTGTCTGTGTTTGTATATGGGCTGTGGCAATAATAATAATAATAATAAAACAAAAGCTCGCAACATATGGAAAAAAAGAACTATTCCGCACACAACAAGTGACGTCGTTGACCGTTGATTACTCTTCTGCGCATGCAGGACACATCTGTGTCATTTCATGTTCACACAGGAGATCACAAAAGGTCGCATTTAATTGGAAATGTGAACGGCCTTGCAAAAAAAATCTAATTTTTTCAAAAAATCGGAATTGAGCATTAAGCCCTGCAGTGTGAACGTAGCCTAATTTTAACACTTTAACACTCTTGAGTCTGGAGCCTCTCCTAGGCTACGTCCACATTAATCCGGATACATTTGAACACACTAGCGCGCATGGCTTTCGGAGAGTTTAATTAACACTGGAGTTTTTGCTGTGTGAGTTCATGGGCGTAATAAAAATATGGCAGAACTTTTACTTTCTGACCAAAACATAAACATTCTGTGCAAAACATATAAAACTCTTCAGTTTAATATTTACTCTCCTTATCGATTACATTTTTTTATGAACTTGCACTAATATTTCAGTGAAATGAACGTATTTTGTTTAATAAATCTGACTGTTACATTTTACAATATATTACTGTTTTCCTTGATTTTACGGTAATCTACTGGCTGCTGGGGTGCCTTGTTTTATGATGTAAATTAATTTACAGTTGATTACTGATACAATAGGCTTGACTCAGTTTTTTATTTTATTTGATACATTTAACCCTTTTAAATCTTTAAATAAACATGATCTAAAAAATAGAGCTATACAGAATGAAAAAGGCTTTAATATGGTATATTGCTATTTTATTATTTAATGTAAACCAGCATGTTACTAAAAATTTTGGCTTTTTTACAGCATTTTTTACAGTGGGGTTTAAAATAATCCAGTTCTATCTTTAGATAATACACATGCCTTTTAAAGTTTATTCTGTGGCAATGATAGCAAAACATCTAGTAAAATATGCAAATAAGAACATATTTTGAAAAGTTAAATAAAATAACTTTTTGTTAATACATACCATAAAATGCAGAAACATGGACACATTGTTATTTGAAAAAAGATTGAATTCATAAGTTACATTTCTCATTTCCTCAAAAAATAACAACCCCATTTCTTCTTCAAATGAAACTTTTTACTTACCACACTTTCCATCTTTCCCTTCATCCTGGCTGTGATTCTGTGTTCGAGCTCCAGTTGTGTCCTTAATATCATCATTTTCAAAATTTTCATAAATGTCCTCTAATTCCATAATTCGCTCTTATTTCTGACAGCAAGTGTTCACAGATGATCTGTGGTTTAATAATCATCACAGTTTCTTTTAAATAGTGCTAACACTAAACGGGAAGTGGCTTTATTAGTTCAGACACAGAGAAAATGACTTTCGTTCCCACAGCGAAACTCTCTGAAACTCTGCATAGACTCAAACACCTTTAAACAGGCCTAACTTGACATCTGTATTGATGGTAATTAACTGGAATGAGTAATATTTTTAAGCTGGGAGGAGGAGATGATGCAAAAAAAAAAAAAAAAGAGAGATTAAACACAAGTGGGTGACAACAGGATATTAACAAATGCATTTACTCAGTGTATATTATATGATGTGAGTGTTACGGATATACATCCACATTAATCCGGATACATTTGAAAACGGGGTTTTCGTTTAAAAACGTTCTCTGTCCAAAATAGCGTTTTCAGGCGTTTTCTGACGTTTCAGTGTGGATGAGAAACTTCTAAATTCACTTTACTGCACATGCGTGAAACTTCACAAAAGCTCACTAAGATAATCCAGATGGGAAAATAAATAATAATGCTATCGCACAATAACAGGATAATTTTATTTAGGAAAATATCTCACCATCACTGATGCGTCCAGGTCACATTCAGTCACCATATGTTTGGTCTAAAACGCAACTGCTCTCCTGTTTTGCCGCAGGACAGCAAATGTGTGATATCCTTACATTAATAATCCACTTGGTGGCACTCAAGCACCTTAGCTGAGAGATATATGCTGTTGTAAAAGAGTGAAGAAGAAGAGTGAATGCTGCGCTTGTGCTTACATGTGCTTGCATGTTATTCTGCTTGTACATAAGTTATTAAAAAGTTTATTGAGAGAATTCTACTAGCTTGTGCTTCTTGTCATAAAGACATAACAAAATTGGCGACGAGGACGATTTATTTCACAAGATTTCCTGAGGATGGCATCAGTTAGTGCTCCGTTTCCCAGTCCATTTTTGCCTTGTCCCGGTGAGCCCGCTATACCACTTGTAACATGGCTGAGGATGTTTGAGAATGCTAGTCATCAATGCTACTGGAGACTCCTGGCCAGAAGCCAGCAAACGGGCTTTACTTCTTCATTGCCTCGGAACTGAAGGTCAGAGACTATTTTATACATTGCCTGATACCGGTGACAATCTTGCATCTGCTGTTAAAGCTTTGGAGGAGCATTTCATTCCAAAACGAAATGTGGTCGTGGAAAGACATGCCTTCAGGAAACGAGTGCAGAGGACAGATGAAACGGTACTGCAATATATTGCTGCATTGAGAGATTTGGCAACTACATGCAAATTTAATGACAGTCTTGATTATATGCTGCGTGACCAGCTTGTAGAAAATATTGCTTACCCTCGCATTCTGGAAAGATTATTAGTGGAATCTAAATTGACACTAGAGACTGCAATTACAATTTCCACGCAGCTAGAGGCCGCTGATGCACAGGCAAAATCGATGACTACAAGTAGTTCTGCTCCAGTAAAAGCCATACATGCCACTTCTGCGTCTGGACGACAGCATTCAAAGGCCAAATTCAAAACACGTACCTCATCAAAACCTCATACTGCTGGACATACTGGACATCTTGCAAATGCACAAAACTGCCTTGCTGTATCTGCTAAATGTAAAAATTGTAATAAGACTGGACATTTTGCATGTGTCTGCCGTTCCGCTCCTACTCGTTTAGTGCATTCAGTTGAATTACCAGAGGTTTGTATTCTCCATCTACCTGGATTATCTGATCGCTTGATGTGTTTTGTAACTATAAATGCTATGTGTGCTGTTACACTTGTGTCTCTTCAACTCACAGTCGACTCTTGTTTATCAGTGTCCATTCTGCCGAAACAATTGTATGAGCAGCACTTTCGCACTGTGCCATTACAAGCGCCATCTGCCCGTTTAGTCACTTACTTGCAAGAACCAATTTCAGTGCTCGAATGTTTACCTGCAACAGTGTGTAAATATGGCATTACCTGCCCTGCACATTTCTTCATTGTTGATAATGGCACAGCCTTGTTAGGCATGGACCTGATTAAGGGACTCCAGCTTCGATTTGACGAAAACACTGTGCTGCCGCCGCCACAATCCACTTCAGTTTGTGCCCTTTCCACTCCTCCATCACATTGGGCTGTGTAAAAAACTTTACACACAAGGTAAACATTTCTGACTCGGTTCCTCCTGTCAGACACAAATTACGTCGCTTACCTTTTTCTGTCAGAGATGCTGTTTCCGCCGAACTGGAACGACTCTTGCATGCTGGTGTAATTGAAAGAATTGACTCCTCTCCATGGGTTTCACCAATTGTTGTGGTCCGAAAGAAAACGGGGGATCCGCATGTGTGTGGATCTGCAAGGGCAAAACAAGGCAGTTATAGTAGACGGCTACCCATTGCCACACATGGAGGAGATGATGACATTACTGCAAGGTGCAACTGTATTTTCAACTATCGACTTAGAAAGTGCATATCATCAGGTACCTTTTCATGACGACAGCCGGGACCTAACCGCATTTGTTACGCACGAGGGCCTCTTCAGGTTCCGCAGGGTACCTTATGGTTTGGCATCTGCTCCATCTGCATTCCAAAAGATGATGGTTGTCATTCTAAAGCCTAGTTCACACTACGTGATTTTAAGCCCGATTTAAGCCCGATTTGCAAATCGTTGAGTCGCCGACAAGTCAGGGTGTTATCGCGTGCAAATCGCGGGCGATTAGCGGACGATTAACGCTCGCCAATCCGTTAGTGTGAAAGAGCCAACAACGCACCAAAGACAGCTCGCAGACAGCTCGCAGACAGGTCACCGAGCTCAGAAAAAATATCTAGCATGCTAGATATCTCGAGCAGTCGCGCGACTCAATCTCAGTGATGTCATGAGTACAGCCAATCATAGCAACGCATGGGTTGAGGACACCAGGTAAATCTTACTTTTTCTTTTCTTTTTTGCATTTTTTTTTCTCAGAGCAGATCGTCGAGCAAACAGTGTGCAGCACTAGTTTCTGTCTGACGTCCATATTCGCGTGTTGTGTTCTTCTCTGCAGTTTCGCGTCATTTCTGGTTCGTTTTATTGCGTGGTTTTTCATGACAAAACATGGTTTCTAGACCAGATAGAATCGTGTTGTTGTCAACTCGTTATTTGTTTGATTATTTTCAGGATTTAGACCGTACTATAGTACTGAAACAGCTCTCATTGAGTCACAAATGATATGCTCTTATCATCCGATCGTGGTTGTATCTCTATGATGTAGTGCGTTGTTAACTCGTGTAGTGAGTTACCTCCTGTTGTGGATCAATCACGTTGTGTTGTGTGGTGTGAACAGCTAAACAACTTGAACACTCATGATTTCACTGAGAGCAAGTCATGTAGTGTGAACTGCACAGTTCAGCCCGACATTTTAAAATCATGTAGTGTGAACTAGGCATTAGCTGAGAGATATATGCTGTTGTAAAAGAGTGAAGAAGAAGAGTGAATGCTGCGCTTGTGCTTACATGTGCTTGCATGTTATTCTGCTTGTACATAAGTTATTAAAAAGTTTATTGAGAGAATTCTACTATAGCTTGTGCTTCTTTTCAAAAAGACATAACACAATTGGCGACGAGGACGATTTATTTCACAAGATTTCCTGAGGATGGCATCAGTTAGTGCTCCGTTTCCCAGTCCATTTTTGCCTTGTCCCGGTGAGCCCGCTATACCACTTGTAACATGGCTGAGGATGTTTGAGAATTACATGCTAGTCATCAATGCTACTGGAGAGTCCTGGCCAGAAGCCAGAAAACGGGCTTTACTTCTTCATTGCCTCGGAACTGAAGGTCAGAGACTATTTTATACATTGCCTGATACCGGTGACAATCTTGCATCTGCTGTTAAAGCTTTGGAGGAGCATTTCATTCCAAAACGAAATGTGGTCGTGGAAAGACATGCCTTCAGGAAACGAGTGCAGAGGACAGATGAAACGGTACTGCAATATATTGCTGCATTGAGAGATTTGGCAACTACATGCAAATTTAATGACAGTCTTGATTATATGCTGCGTGACCAGCTTGTAGAAAATATTGCTTACCCTCGCATTCTGGAAAGATTATTAGTGGAATCTAAATTGACACTAGAGACTGCAATTACAATTTCCACGCAGCTAGAGGCCGCTGATGCACAGGCAAAATCGATGACTACAAGTAGTTCTGCTCCAGTAAAAGCCATACATGCCACTTCTGCGTCTGGACGACAGCATTCAAAGGCCAAATTCAAAACACGTACCTCATCAAAACCTCATACTGCTTCTTCAGCTCGGACATGCTTCCGCTGTTGCTCCACTGGACATCTTGCAAATGCACAAAACGGCCTTGCTGTATCTGCTAAATGTAAAAATTGTAATAAGACTGGACATTTTGCATGTGTCTGCCGTTCCGCTCCTACTCGTTTAGTGCATTCAGTTGAATTACCAGAGGTTTGTATTCTCCATCTACCTGGATTATCTGATCGCTTGATGTGTTTTGTAACTATAAATGCTATGTGTGCTGTTACACTTGTGTCTCTTCAACTCACAGTCAACTCTGGTTTATCAGTGTCCATTCTGACGAAACAATTGTATGAGCAGCACTTTCGCACTGTGCCATTACAAGCGCCATCTGCCCGTTTAGTCACTTACTTGCAAGAACCAATTTCAGTGCTCGGATGTTTACCTGCAACAGTGTCTAAATATGGCATTACCTGCCCTGCACATTTCTTCATTGTTGATAATGGCACAGCCTTGTTAGACATGGACCTGATTTAGGGACTCCAGCTTCAATTTGACGGAAACACTGTGCTGCCGCCGCCACAATCCACTTCAGTTTGTGCCCTTTCCACTCCTCCATCACAGCGTACTACATTGGGCTGTGTAAAAAACTTTACACACAAGGTAAACATTTCTGACTCGGTTCCTCCTGTCAGACACAAATTGCGTCGCTTACCTTTTTCTGTCAGAGATGCTGTTTCCGCCGAACTGGAACGACTCTTGCATGCTGGTGTAATTGAAAGAATTGACTCCTCTCCATGGGTTTCACCAATTGTTGTGGTCCGAAAGAAAACGGGGGATCCGCATGTGTGTGGATCTGCAAGGGCAAAACAAGGCAGTTATAGTAGACGGCTACCCATTGCCACACATGGAGGAGATGATGACATTACTGCAAGGTGCAACTGTATTTTCAACTATCGACTTAGAAAGTGCATATCATCAG